CGTGAGTTTTGAGATATTAATTTTTACAACACCTTATTGGTCTCAATAATGTCTCCATGTGAACATCGATTGGTATAACTCATTAAGAAAAAAAAAAAAGACTTACAAGCAACAATATATGTTGTAATATAAAGTAAGCTAAAATATTGTCTTGTTTTTAAATCTTGGAGGTTCACCAAAAACCTATGTCATATGTTCTAAACTTTTTTATTGCTCTCTTATTTTCTGTCATGTATATATAAAAACTAAAAAATACTATTAAACAAAATGACTTAAAACAAACCAGCAAGTTATGTTTAACAAAAATATCTTTAGTTTTCTTGGTTTGAACCTTGTACACCCATTAGCATTAGATGGACATGTCCTACTAATGTGGCAATGACTATGCCACCTACCATATCTATTTGAAGTATGTAATCTTTTAAGCTTGTTTAGATTATGATCTTTATCAAACTCCCTCTTTTGTAATTTTTTGGTTTTCCATGGTCTTCTCTTGTAATTAGGTGGCAAGATAGACTCATTATCAATTCTTAGTTATTTGTGTTATCCATTAATGGAACTATTAGAAAATGATACAAATTTCTAGAATAAGCTAGAAAATTATTAGGAAGAATCTAGGAAAAATTATTTTTATCTTCGAGTTTGTAGATAGTTCTAGAATATTGTAAAAATTAAAATATTTAACCACATAAATACAATGGTGGAGGATGCCTATAAATAGGCATGCTATCTCATTATAAAAGCTAAGAAGAAGTAAGCAAACTATCAATTCTCTATTTCTTGAGTATCTTACTCAAACTTCTTTAAGTATCATTTTCAACTATTCCAACTAACATATTTCAACTATCTTACTCATCTCACCTACGTTAAAAACCATCAGTGGTATCAGAGTTACGTTTCGGTCATCTACTAGGCATAGAAATATTACCATACTATTTCAAAATTAAAATAAACCACTTCCAAATTTTTTCTACCCATGGCTAGTACTACTCAACCATCATCTCTTTCCATCTTTATTTTCAATTATGAAAATTATGATTTTTGGAGCATAAAAATGAAGACATATTTTACCTTTTAAGATTTGTGGGGTGTTGTGAAAAAATTATTCACTACTTCAACAGACATATCATCCCTTACTACAACTCAAAGACAAGAACTGAAGGAGAATAAACAAAAGGATTCGAAGACTTTGTTTATTCTACAACAAATTATGACTAACTCAATTTTTTCAAGAATAATAGGTGCTACAACAGCCAAAGAAGCATGGAGTACGCTGCAGGAGGAGTTTGAAGGAAGCAAAAAGGTACGCACTGTAAAACTTCAAACTCTATAACGAGAGTTTAAATTATTAAAAATGAAAGAGTCTAAAATCGTAAAAGACTATTATTCCAAAATAAAAGAAATAGTTAACTAAATGAGAGCTTATGAGAAAATTATTCCTAACAAAAAAGTTGTTGAAAAATTATTAATCATAGTTTTCCGTAAATATGATTCAATTGTGACCACTATTGAGCAAACAAAGGATCTATCTTTTCTATCAATGATAGAGTTAGTAAGGTCCCTTAAAGCTTATGAGCAAAGGCTGAAAAGGCATGATGAGGACTTAACAAAAAATGTCTTTCAATCAAAGCTCAAATTACAGTATCATAATAAAAGGAATAAAGGAAGAAAGAATAATGGAAAAACCTTTAGAAACAAAAAGAATTCTAGAAATTTCTCTAGAAACAATTAAGATAAACATCCTCCATACGACATCTGTAAGAGGACAAATCATGTTGAAGAAAAATGTTGGTATCATGAAAAATCATAATATCGACACTGCAAGAAATTTGGACACGTGAAAAAGTATTGTTGCAACAAAAACAATTATCAAGCAAATTTCGCTGAAGAGGATGATCGAGAATCACATCTTTTCTATGCTGCCCAAGATTTCAGCAATAAAACAAGCAAAAATTGGTACTTGGATAGCGGTTGTAGCAATCATATGGCCAAAGATATAAACATCTTTAAGGATATTGACAAATCCATCAAAGTGAAAGTTCGAATAGGGAACAGTACTATCGCTGAGTCTAAAGGCAAAGGCACATGATAGAGATAAAGAAAGATACAAAACTTATTATTGATGTTTTACTAGTTTCCAATCTCAAAGAAAATCTCTTAAGTATTGGTCAAATGATGGAGAAAGGTTATTCTCTCCACTTCAAAGGGAACACATGTAAGATATATGACAATAAAAGGCAAGAGATTGGCCAAGTAAAGATGGAGAAAAGGAATAGAAGTTTTCCAATAAGCTTTCAACAAGACGCTAACATTGCCATGAAAGCAGAAGTTGATACTTCACGAATTTGGCATCAAAGATTTGGCCACTTCAATACTCATGCCTTAAAACTTTATATCAAAAGAATATGATTAAGGATCTCCCATGTCTTGAAGAAAATAATGAAGCTTGGAGAGCAAAAGAATTAAAAGTCTTTGGAATATTCATCGATAATTTTTCTAGAATGACTTGAGTCTACTTCATCAAAGCAAAATTATAAGTCTTTGGAATATTTAAGAAGTTTAAGGCCCTTGTCGTGAAGTAAAGTGGTAAACAGATAAAAGTATTAAAAGTGATTGTGACAAAGAGTATACATCTCAAGAGTTTGATAAATTCTGAGAATGAAGGCATTCAATGACAATTTACCGTCACATATACTCCACAACAACAAAAAAAGGAATTGAGAGGAAAAAATGCACAGTAATGGAGATGGCTAGATTCATGTTGAAGGAGAAAGAATTACCAAATACTTTTTAAGCTGAAGCATTTTATTCTGTTGTCTACATACTTAACAGATGTCCAACTAAAGTTGTCCAAGATAAAACTCCAATTAAAGCTTGGAATGAGTTTTTGAATCAATTTGCTACACATATTAAAGAAGAGAAGAGACACAAACTAGAAGATAAAACCGTATGAGATATCTTCTTGAGGTATAACACACAATCAAAAGGATATCAAGTGTACAACTTATAAACCAAAAATATTTCCATACTAATGCAGCAACCCCAAAAAATTAAAGAAGTCTTAGGTGAAAGTTTTTCACCCCCACAACAACAAATTTCCTCACCAAAGTCTACTCCAAGACGAGTTAGATCTTTGGTGGATATATATGAAACCTATAACCTGGTCATAACTGAACTTGAGAACTTTGAAGCAGCATCAAAACAAGAAGTATGGCTTACACTACGCCAGAAATGAGCTTTTGAAGCGCTAATTTAGATAGCAATTAATAAAAATCGCTTTGTAATTATATATTTAGAGAGCTGTTCTCTATTAACCGCTCTCAGATCTATACTTCTGAAAGCAGTTAACAGAGAACTGCTCTCAGATTTATACTTTTGAGAGCGGTTCTTTATTAACCATTCTCAGATCTACGCTTCTGAGAGCGGTTCTTTGTTAACCGCTCTCAAAACTATACTTCTGAGAACGGTTCTCTATTAACCGCTCTCTAAAGTTACACATTAAAGAGCGATTAATAAAGAACCGCTCTCTAATGTTATTAAAGTCATTTATAAATGAACACGCTCAACGCATTTCTTCTTCATAGCTAACAAAGTTGGTCTCTTTCACTGTAAGTTTTTTCTCTGCTCTCTTATGTTTTCTTCATCTTCTTTGTTAGCCTGCTCTCTTTTTCTTCTCTTGCTAACAAATTAGTTTTTTCTCCATCTGTAAGTACCTTTTCATTCTATGTTAGTCTGCTCTCTTCATCTTCTTTACGCTAACAAATTAAATTTTTTTCACATCTGTACGTATTTTTTTTATTCTCTCTTTCTTTCTTCTTCTCTTTATTAACGGTGAATCATCCATTCTCTCTTTCTTTCTTTTTCTCTCTATTAATGTAAAAAAATTATCCTATTAATTTGTTCTCTTTTTTCTTTACTTACTTGTGTTTTGTTCATGCAGATATGGACTGCTTGGTTAACACCAAATATATAAACTCAAGATTCAATTTTGATTTGTGATAAAAATGAAGAAAACTCACAAAGAAATTAATTCTAAATTTTGATTTAAACGTAATAATAAATTTTTATTTTGCAACAGAAAACTCACAAAGAAATCAATTTCAAATTTTGCAGTTAAAATTTATACTTTGGAGAGCGGTTCCGCCTAGAACCACTCTCTAATCTTAATATCTGATAGCAGTTCTTTAACTGTTCTCTTAAATATAATACATCAGATAGCGCAAGATTTTAGAGCAGTTCTAAACGCTCTCTAATTCAAAACAGAACCGCTCTCAGATCTCCATTTTGGCGTAGTGTTAAGGCAATGGAAGAAGAGATAAAATTGATTGAAAAAAAATAACACATGGGATCTAATACATTTCCCCACAAATAAAGATATTATTGGGGTAAAATGGGTCTATAAGACCAAGCTTAATCCCGATTGCACCATATAAAAGTATAAGGCAAGGTTGATAGCTAAAAGATACTCACAACAACTTGAAGTTGATTACAATGAGATATTTGCTCCAGTTGCTCGTTTAGATACTATAAGAACTCTAATTACTTTTACTGCATAAAAAAGATGGAACATTTATCAACTAGATGTAAAATATGCTTTTCTCAATGACATTCTTCAAGAAGAGATTTACATTGAGCAATCACAAGGCTTTCTCAATAAAGGTAAAGTACTAAGACTGAAAAAGGCTCTATATGGATTGAAGCAAGCTTCACGAGCATGGTATAGCAAAATTGATCAATACTTTACAGATCAAGGATTCAGGAGGTGCAAAAGTGAGCTAACTTTATACATCAAGATCCAAGTTCAGTATGACATACTCATCTTATCTGTATAGGGAACAATGAGGAGATGATAGTTAAGTTCAAAGAAGATATGATGAAGACCTTCAAAATGACTTACCTTGGCTTGATGAACTACTTCCTTGAAAAGAGGTAAAACAAAAGAAAGAAAGAATATTATCTCCCAAAAGAAATTTGTTGAAGTGCTAATTAAGAAATTTAAGATGAATGGTTATAAGATTGTTGGCACTTTACTAGTGACAAATGAGAAATTGAAGAAAAATGATGGAGCAACAAAAGCTGATACATCATGCTACAGAAGTTTGATTGGAAGCTTATTATATCTCATAGCCACACGACCAGACATAATGTATGTTGTAAGTCTTCTTTCAAGATTTATGCAAAGTCTAAACCAAATCCACTTTGGAACAACAAAAAGAATCCTAAGATATTTACAAGGCACCAAAGAGTATGGTATATGGTACCAAACCATGGGCAACTCAAAGCTGCTTGGCTACATCGACAGTGATTGGGCAAGATCGATCGACAACATGAAGAGCACATCTAGTTATGCATTCTCACTAGGATCAAGAACAATCTCTTGGACTTTAAAGAAGCAAGCAACTGTTGCACAATCAACAGCAAAAACAAAATATACGACAACTGCTAAGACTACAAGTCAAGCAATATGGTAATGAAGAATACTTGAAGAAATGGGAGAAAAACAAAATGAGCCTATTACAATCTAATACGACAAACAATCAGCTATAGCAATGACAAGGAGTTTGGTGCATCATAGCAGAATAATATTGTAAATATTAAATATTTAACTACCCAAATATAATGGTGGAAGATGCCTATAAAATAAGCATGCTATCTCATTATAAAAGTCAAGAAGAAGTAAACAAATTATTAATTTTCCATCTCTTAAGTGTCTTAATTAAACTTCTTTAACTATCATTTTTAACTATTCTAATTAATATATTTCAACTACCTTACTCATACACTAAAAACTATTAAAAACTAATAACTTGTCTCCAAAGCTTTTCTTTAATAATATCAATCTATATACAACGCAGGTTATCACCCTTGTATGTTGCCAGCAGTCACTGCATGTCTACAAGGTATTCCTATAGGTTCCCAAAAAATGCTTGTGCAAGAGATCAATGTATTTAAGTTTATAATGAACCTATTTGTGAATAACCTCTAACCTCAAATTTAAGGTCCCCTTCCTAAGTTACATATCAATTCAAGCATGTATATATATATATATATATATATATATATATATATATATATATACAGTAGAAACTTTTTAAATTAATAATGTCAGGACTGGAGAAATTTATTAATTTAGAGAGTTATTAATTTATCGATAAATTAATAATTATTAATTTAAAGAGTTTTTAAGTAATTATATTGTACATACCAAACAAAAAGGAAAATTAATCTATGCCTCTTAGAATTACGTTGCAGCGAACCTTGGGACTCAACGTACAGTAAATTAGTAACTACAAAACATATGCATTGGAAATCAATAATGACTTTTGAAGTACAGTAAATGTAAACAAGAGGAACAAATGTGTTCAATGTATTCTTAAGCAAGTTTGGCATATATAAATTACATGAATGTGTTAGAGTATTCAAACCATATCTCACAAGATGGCTTCTCATCTAAAAGGTGTTGCAAAATCAACTATGTCAGATCAAATACGTAAGGAGTTGTGTGAGTATAAGAGAGATAATCCTGCAAGCACACAAAAAGACTTGCAGAGATGGCTTGAGGGAAAATTTCAGTTAAAAGTTAGTCAATGAAAATATCAAACACACTTAAGCGGTCAGATGACTATCTCTCTGCTAAAATAGAAAAGGGAAGAGCAGAGATCAAAAGACACAAACCAGCAAAATATCCTGACATGGAGAAGGTTGTTTATGAGTGGCTTCTCCAGCATCAAGAACGTGTGAATATCACAGGCGAATTAATTTTGCAGAAGGCAAGAGATACAATGAAACTCGTGTACCCTCATAATGATTCATATTTTAACTTCTCTATAGGATGACTTGGAAAATTCAAGCACCGACATGGCATAAAGTCATTTCGTCGTTTTGGCGAGAGTGGGTCTGTTGATATACAAGACATGGAGCAGAAATTGGTATCGATTCGGGAGAAAATTGATCAGTTCCCTATGAAAGATGTTTTCAATATGGATGAAACTGGATTGTTTTATAGGTTACAAGCTGATCATTCACTGGCAACAAAACAACTTGAAGGAAAAAAAGAAGATAAAGAAAGGTTGATGGTAGTTATTTGTTGCAATAAAGATGGCTTTGAAAAAATCCCTCTATGGATTATTGGGAAATATGCAAAGCCTCGTTACTTCAAGAATGTCAACATGAATAGCTTAAATTGTCAGTATCGAGCTAACAAAAAAGCATGGATGACTAGTGTGCTTTTTGATGAATATGTTCGTTCATTTGACCAAATGATGCATGGTAGAAGAGTTCTACTTGTGGTGGATAATTGTCTAGCACATCCAAGAAATATTGAAGGGCTAAGAAACGTTGAGTTGTTCTTCTTGCCACCCAACATGACATCAAAGATTCAACCTTGCGATGCTGGGATAATAAGAGCTTTCAAGATGCATTACTGTAGAAGGTTTTATTGCAAAATATTGGAAGGTTATGAGGTGGGACAATCTGATCCAGGGAAGATAAATGTCCTTGATGCTATCAATTTGGCAATCCCAGCTTGGACGATAGATGTTCGAAAAAAAACAATAGCAAATTGCTTCCGACACTGTAAAATTTGTTCAGATAGTGACGTTGCAAGAAATTTGGGTGAATCCACTTTTGATGAAGAAACTCAAGACCTCGAGACTATGATCAATCAATGTGGCTATCATAATAAGATGGATATCGACAATATAATGAACTACCCAGGTGAAAATGAAGCATGTTCGGAGGTTCAAAGTTTACAAGATATTGTGGGTACTATCATTGAGAACAATGCAGAGGATGACGACAAAGATGATACAGTGTCTTTGGAGCCTGTTACGCGAAAGGAAGCACTTATGGCGTCGAACACTCTTCACAACTTTATGATACAATACAAAAATACAACACCTGAGCTATTGGATGCAATAAGAAAAGTTAGAGATGAGCTCCAAATAGACTTGAACTTTAAAGGAAAACAGACAACTATTGAATCATATTTCAATAGAGTGTAATATATTTTTTTCAGTTTCTATGAATTATTAATTTATGATTTTCTTGGAACCGAAAATTATAAAGGGATCTCCCGAAAAATTATTATCTTATTATTTTACCGAGTTTTTCAATTTTTTATATTGGCCCAAGTCGGAACCGGATAAATTTATTATTTTAGAGAGTTTATTAATTTATCGGGTATTAATTTAAAGAGTTTCTACAGTATATTCTAATGCATCCATAAATGCATATCGATAGTTTTAGAATCTCAAAATACTAATCTGAAAAAATATGGTAGAACAATATCCTACGATCATAAGTACATCAATGATCCAACAATATAAAAAAGATATAAAATTAGTTTTTTATTTTGAATATTTTTTAATATAAAAACGGAGTTCAATGTTTAGTAATATTCTCTAGAGGTGGTCAAAAAATCCAATTTCATAAATCCAATCCATAACCAATGTCAAATTGGTTTTAAAAATCTAGATCCATATTAAACCAGTTTTTTTATTAACTATATTTGTATAACCAGTTTAGTGTCTAAATCCAATTTCTAAAACCAGATTTATTTTTAGTTATCCAAATCCATATGTATGAAGCAACCTTATATTTTTATTTACTAAATTTTGACGTTATATTAATTTACAAAATTTTATTGTAACTATATTTTACTATTATTATTTTTTTATTAATCTTAATTCTTATAATTAAAATATTTAAAAATATTAAAATATAACAAATATTTTTAAATTAGTTACTACTGTTATTTTTATATTTATGTTTATTTTTTAATTTTTAAAATATTATAACATAAAAATTTTATTATTATTTATATTATTAATTTTTATTTTTATAGGTTTTAATTTAAATTTTTATTATAAACTCCATTTATTAAAAATAAGTTAAAAATAATAATAAATATTTTATATACTTCTATAAAATATAATATATTAATAAATATTGTTAAAATCTTTTTGAAATGAACTATTTTAATGTAACATTTGTACAATAAATTAGTTTTATCTTAAAAATATAATTCACAAATATATTAAAAATTAATTTTGCGTTAAAAATTAAATTTAAAATTTTAAAACTAATTCAACGTAAAACCAAATTTGAAACTAGTTTCAACAAAAACTAAATTTAAAACCAATTTAAAACTAAATTTAAATTTTAAAACTATTTTTGAACCGATTAAAAAAATAAAATAAAATAGTTTAAAATTTAACTCATATAATTAATTTGTGTGATGGATAGATGATATAAAGTACAATATATCTAAAGATTTATTATTTTAATAAAATATAAAATTAAAAAATACTATTAAAAAATTAAAATATATGCAAATACTCTTTTAACATGTATTGTTTATGTAATGGGTTAGAGTATTATTTATATTCATATTTTATCTTTAATAAATGTTTATGTTTAACAAATATATATATATATATATATATATATATAATGTTATATTATTTATTTAAATATTTTAATATAATAATTTAATAATAATTAAAAAATAATTATGGTATATTTTTACCATATGTAAAAATGGTTTAAAACCAGTTTTAAACCAAATTTAAATTTTAAAACAAAATTTAAACTGATTTTAAAAAAATTAAAATAGATTGGTTTATAATCCAATCCATATAATTGGATTTTAAATAGATTTAGATTGATTTTTTGAAAATTCAATCCATAAACACCCCTAATATTCTCTCTGAAAAAATGATTTTTAATTACAAATCGAAACTATAAATTAAACTAAAATTCACTAGTTAGATTCATATACTTAGTACAATATTTGACATTTCAAAATTTTCTATTATTTAATATTTTTATCTTTTAAAATTAAATATTTAAAAAGTTAATTGCATGTTCCAAGAATAAAATAGATGTTAAGATTTTCTATTTAATTTGATTTGTATTAGGATTTTATATCATTAGTATTTGATTAGAAAAGATTTATTTAAGAATATTTTTAACCTTGGATTATAAATACACTTTAGTTATCAGATCTTATTCGCATCAAATGTTGACATGACATTTATTCAAAATCTTAGTCAAAAAGGAATATTTCTTTATTAGATGAAAAGATATAATCTTTTTAAAATTTCTTTAAAAATATATTTATTTTCTCTTGAGAATATATATATATATATATATATATATATAATTAAATTAAAATTTTAAAATTTATGAATAGAATAGAATAAAATAAAATTGTTCATCTCTATATATACTCTGTTAATTTTTCTATATGAAATTAAAATTATAAAAAAAACTAAGTATGATATTTTTTAGAAAATAATATAAAGTTAGTGTCCATGTTATAAGTTTATTCTTTTGTGAGGATAAGCAAGTATAATTTATTTTTTCAAGCAACTGATACACACATATAACGTCACCAAGTCTCAAATTAACAAAAAAATAACATTTAATAAATTTTTATCAAAATTAACTTTTATTAATTAAATTTGATTATTATAATATTATCATAAAAATCATATATACAAATATTTACACAATTTAAATATTCATAAATATTTAATTTTAATATCAATAAATTTTTATATTTTAAATAGTGTACCATTCACTAAAATATAGTAAAAGTGATAAAGTATCGATTACTATGCAAAATTTTGTGAACTTACTCTACTTTATAATATTTTTAATTTGAATAATTAGATTGATAAGATTTACCTTTAATAAAAAATTAATAAAAACATCAGTTTACTAAGTCAACATCTAGTATGATTAAGTGATTATTATAATATAAAGAATTATATTTGTACAAATAACTTTATAAATTCAACACTTTAATTTTTTTTAGCCTTTCAAATAATTATATTTAACGTTAATTTAATCTTCTAATTAAATTTTTAACATATTAAGTCCTTCGAACACTAAAACATTGACAATTATTTATCCAAACTACATATCTTCTTACATTAACATCTACAAGATGCTACCGATTTCTCATCAACGATTTTCTTTTATACGCAAAATTTGAATCCAAACTTTTATCGAAGAAGATCAAACGTATTCTAACAAACTTCCATTAATTTATTTAACGTCATTTCAAGGATTTATTGAATATTATAATTTTACACTACCCTAATTAATATCAAATAAATCTTTTAAATACAAGACTACTATTTTTAAACAATTTATAATAATTTATTTATTAATATTTTTAAAAAGTAATAAATTATTATTATTATATTTAAATAATTAATAACATGAAGATAAATTATCAATTATTTTATGATTTTTCTGATATGTGTTCAGAGGAACATACTGAGAATTTATGCACGGTTTTATTTTATTAAAAATCATGTAATATCATAAAATTTAAGTGTATTAAAACATTAAATGCTAAATTTTTCAATTAAAGTATTTATTTATTTATTCATTTTATTAGATATTCTTGAACACACATTAAAATTTTTAATTATTTTATAAACCTATAATTATAACATTAAAGGTTTGATGCGGTATATTATCGTATTGTGATTAAAATTTAAAATAAGTTAAAGTTAATATTAAGTGAGAAGAAAAAAATAGATGAAAAGATGAGATAATTAATTAAATTGAAATTCATTCATTAGTCTAATTAAAGAAAAAATAATAAAATAAGTGTTGAAATAACATAACTAATTTAAAAAAATTCAAAAAATAATATTATTGATCTTAGTTCTTAAAACTAAGTTTGTACTCTAAATTTGTTTTTAATAAAATATTGATGTTTAAAAAAATTTAAATATCTAAAATAAAAAATATTCGTTGAACAATGAAGTGTTTATTACATTATAGATTGAAAATATAAGAAATTTCTTATTTTTTTAAAAATTATTATATTTAAACTTAGCTTTAATAAATTAAAACAATAAAACATAAGGAATTGAAGAAATAATATTCATTCGAGTATTTTTTTTTTTTATAAAAAATTAATGACCAATTTATTAAGGTGAATAAATAATAGTTATTTATCATAAATTTATTAAAAATATTCATAATATTAAATAATAAAAATTATATATTTATTAATTTTAATATAAATTTATCATATTGAAACTCAATTTTAAGAACTACAATTAAAAAATTAAAACAATAAAACATAAAAATTTTAGAAAATAATGTTATTTTAAATTTTTTATAAAAATAAATAATTAATTCAATAAATTTAATTAAAAATGATTATTAAATAATTAAATTGATGACTATACAATAAATCAATGGATATATCTGTTTATATGAATAATAGGTGAGCGTTTTATGAACACAAATTTTATAATAAAAATATATAAAGTGATAATAATTAATATATATGTAAAAAGGTCTTATTTTTATAATTTAAAAACGTTGATAATCGTAACGAAAGGGGTAATTAAGAACTGCCCTCGATCCCATTTAATCTGCGTAACCAAAAATGGCGGCTGTTTGTTTGAGCCGGTTTATGGTGCAAGTTCATAACTTGTCACTTCCAAGAATCTGATCCATTTTCGCACACAAAAAGTATCCCTGTTGACTTGTCTATATAAGCCTTTGCAACCAAACTAAATTTCATCATCCAAACCACTTCGAATCGCTTTGTTCTCACAATAAGAACATCAACATGGGAGCCAAATTTTCGAGTTTTGATTATGTTGGAAAATTACCAAAACCGACATCGTCCCTTATCCTCTCTTTCCATTCCACTGCCAAATGGAAGTCTCACTTTGAAGCTTCCAAAGAAACACACAAGCTGGTATGTTCATGTATAAGCTTTAACTTCCCAAACACTGCCATTGTTTATCATCAACCGCTAAACCTTTTTTTCTGTGTTAAAGATGGTGATTGACTTCACGGCTTCATGGTGTGGACCCTGCAAATACATGGACCCTATTATTGAAGACTTTGCTGCCAAATATATAGAGGTTGAGTTTATTAAGATTGACGTCGATGAGTTGATGGTATGAATATAAATCCCTCTCATAAAATCATAATATGAAAAAATTTGAGTGCATTATTATAATTTTTTAATTAAATTTAAAATTTTTCTTTTATAACTCATGCAATTGTAACTGGAATTTAAGTGGAGTCTTTAGTTATACATGTAATTTGTTTACTTAACAGGAAATTTTGACAATAATTTAGAAATAAATGAAAACAGGGGGTGACTCAAGAATTCCAGGTGCAAGCAATGCCAACATTCATATTGATTAAGAAAGGAAAAGTTGTTGACAAAGTGGTAGGAGCAAGAAAGGAGGATTTGCAGAAACTGATTGAGAAACACAGGAAATGAATATGTACTGTGATTTCTCTATTCTCATCTTGCGGTGCTGCAATCAAATCCCCATCATCCTGCAGTGTATATGCTAGCTAGTGCTAAGCAAAATAAGACCACCGTTAATGTCCTGTGGCCATGTTTGCAAGAGCATCACGCTGTATTATGTAAAGAGAAACTATATTTATACAATAATTTATATAAATAAGAGAAAATAAAAAAAATATAAGATAAGATAAATAATGCAATTATTTAAAAAATGTGTATAAATTATTATATAATTTTATTATATGTCTATGATATCTGTTATGTAACTCATCCAGATCCAAATAATTTTTCCTATATTTTTTAAAATGTTTCTGCCTGAAGGATAGAAATTAGTTACATGTCACCGATTCTTATCCTTTTCCATATTCTTCTAATTGAAATATGACACATCGTTGAAAAGTAACAGTTTCTTTTCTAATTGTTTAGTATCTTTTTCCCGAGATGTAAATTGTTGGATGGAGAGAGAATACGAAAAAGACAGGAATGGGGCAAATTTGATCCGTACTTTACCTATTGATACAATGGGTGTCGCATAAACAATTGTTTCAATTTCAAAAACGCACATATATATACCTACACATATGTATAAAATAAAATAATTTTTATTTTATTAAAATTATTATATTTTTTTATTGATTAATTTTTTTAAGAATTTTTTTAAAAATTTAAAAATAGAAATAAAAAAATTCATATGGCAGTTTTAATAAAAAAGAACTTTAATAAATATATAAGTGCTGATAGTTAAATTAGATGGAAATAGTTCATCTTATTAAACTAATAATTGTTCAAGTAACCGTTTGGGTAAAATTGTTATAGTTGAAGACTGATCAAATTCGTTAAAATTGAATAAGAATTAGTGTAAAAATTGGATTAAACTAGTCATCTAAATAAAAATGTTTTATTGTCTTTTTTATTAATTTTAAAAAATATTATTTAACTTAAAGACATACAATTACAAATTTTTACGTTAATTTAAAATTTCAACTAATTTAATTTTATATTAATTTATTATTTAATATAATATATAATGTTAAAAATATATATTTGATCATTATCTGTTTGATCTCAATTTAATCATGATTGAATCAGTGAACTATAAATTAGTAATTTTTTTTATTGATTTAGTTGAAAATCTGATTTTAAAAAGTATTAGTTATGTGATTTGAGTCTTTTTCATGATCAATTAGTACATTATAGTTAATTTGTGACATGCAAGCTCTTATAAAGTTTATACGAGTGCAAAAGGTCATACCCAGCTATCGCTAAAATAATATTGCCATTGCTTTATGCTTTTTAGTTATGACAAGTCACGGTAATTTAACTTTGTTAAAAATAAAAGTTAATAAAATGTAATTTTCACTTTTATCTCACGATTTATATGTCACAAATCAAAGTTGTTGTATGCATGAAATGAAAATTGCTTAAATTACATAGGATATATAACATGTTATTTATCCTATTTATGTCACATTTTTTGATTCTGTAGTTGATAAATTATTTTTTTTTAATAGGTAAAACAAATATTATTAGAAAGAGTTCAAGGAGAACTCAAAACTCATATAAATAAAAAAAAATTCTTTACTCAAAGAAATAAAAAGCAAATATATAGTTATACAAAGTTAAGACAGATGCAATTTCGTGGGTTTAAATACCAATCAGCTAACATAATAACTTCTCCTTTACTAACAAGTGATAGCCATTTTCAGGACCTCAGAATAATAAAATTTAGGACCTCCCTCTCATCCAAAACACCATTGGAAAACACAATTCTATTTCTATGTAACTATAAAGACCACACTGTACTTACCCAAACAATTAATAAGCATATCCCTTCTCTTTTACTATAACCAACACCAACCCAAGAAAACAAGTGAGTTGATAAATCTGAAGGCAAAGTCAGTGAGAATCCAAGCCAACGCGCAGTAAAGTACCAGATTTGAGATGAAACTGGACACGTTAAAAATAAATGAGTTGGAAGTTCCTCCAAACCATGACAGAAACAACAAGTTATATCATCAATTTGAACTCCACGATCAATCAGCAAACCTTTACAAGGAAGTGCATTCAACAACAATTGCTAAGAAAATACCAAACACTTAAGAGGGACCTTCCCTCTCCATAACCTTTGCAAGCCATCTGTCGTACACTGATCTACACTATTAGGAACACCAAAAAGTTCAAATAGCCATGAATACGCAGATTGCACTGAATAACAACCTGAAGAATCTGCCCTCCATACCTATTTATCTTCTTGTAGTAACTTAATAGAAACTCCTTTCACAAGCTCCAACAAAAGATTAAAGCTTAAGATCTCATGTTGAAAGAGTCATCTTCGACAACTAACATCCTAAACCCACTTAGTGCCATCATGAAAACCGTTCTCCAATACACATGATTCAGCATTCCTCGCCACTGCAAACAATCGCAAAAATGTTTCACACAATTGCACTCTGCCTACCCACTTATCTCTCCAAAAAAGTGTGTGTAAACTTGCACTCACACTCTTATTAAACTTCTCATCCAGCCATGAATTTCCTTAATAAATAACCTCTAGCAAATTACGCCACCACAAAGAATATCTGTTGTGAAATGGAAAATGCTGAATAGAAGAAGCTAATCTTCCATATCTAGATTCCAATACCTGCACCCACAATAAACTAGAATAATTAACACCTCGCCACAACCATTTACCAAGAAGCGCCCAGTTAAATCACTGCACATTCCTAATGCTCAAGCCACCATTCTTCCACGATCTACAAAACGTTTCCCATTTCACCCAGGGGATTTTAGATCTATCCTTAACACCCTTCCATAAAAAATTCCGTTGAATAGTGACAATCTCCTTTATCACCGACTTTGGCACCTTAAAAAAGGATAACGAATGCAATGACATAGAATTAAGAACAACATTAATCAAAGTCACCCTGCTTTCAATCGATAAATACCTATGCTTCCAAAATGCTAACCTCTTTTTAAGAGCCTCTAGCACACCCTTCCATGCACTAGGCTTTCTCGGGTTAATACCTAATTGTAACCTAAGATACTTTAATAGGAAACTACCAATCTTACAATGTAGGAACTCCGCAGCCAAGTTTTCAAAGTTATCACCAGTGTTAATCTCCAATATACAAGATTTATGAAAGTTAATTTTTACACTTGACATTAATTCAAAGCTACACAATATTGTTTTCAAAGTCTACAAATTCTGCACCGAAACCTCTCCCATAATCAATGTGTCATTCGCAAACTGCAGCAAAGAAATATCTGGTCCCCCTACCCCAATCTTCACACTAGAGAATAACCCACTAGCCACTGCCTTCCGCATAAGAACTCCTAACCCTTCCGCTGCCACAAGAAAAGAAAAGGGGCAAGAGGATCTCCTATTTTAGGCTCCGCTCAATATGAACCTCCAATGTAGGATAACCATTAATCAAAGCTGATAGACTACCCCCACACACACAAGCTTCCATTCAACTAACCCATTTTTCTAAAAATCCAAAGCTACGTAGCATAAACAAAAGATATCTCCACTCTATCAAATCATAAGCCTTCTCATAATCAAGCTTTAACATAAAACACCTCTTGTTATACCTCCACACATAATCAACTGCTTCATTAGCCACAAGCACACTATCTAATATGTTCCTTCTCGAGATAAAGGCTGATTGTTCTTCTGAAATTATTGAATTCAAAACCCCTGTCAACCTATTTGCCAAAAGCTTGGAAACAATCTTATAAAAATAACCTAATAATGAGATAGGCTGAAAATCAGATATTTGTTGTGGGCAAGACACTTTTGGCACAAGTGCTACAAAGTAAGATAACAAAGACCTAGGTAGTTTCCCATATTTACAAAATTCAGTAAGCATACCCATCACTTCTTCCTTGATCACTCCCCAAAACCTCTTAAGGAACACAAAATTGAAACCATCAGGCCCCGGACTTTTATCCCCCTCACACTCCAAAATCATCCTTCCCACTTCCTCCTTCGAAAAAGCATTAACAAGCCCTTCATTCTGTAGAACAGAGACTCTCGGTAAATTATTAACATCAACAGTAGGTCGAAGACAACCTCTACTACTAAAATGAGCCGCAAAATAGGACACTACACCTGCTTTAATCTCATCCACCTTTTCGACACATTTCTCCCAAATTTGAAGTGCATGTATATTATTTCATCGCCGCTTCCTATTAACACACAAATGAAAGAACTTTGTATTTAAATCATCCTCCTTTCCCCATCTCACCCGAGCTTTTTGGGCTATGAGACTCTCTCTATTATTCCTAGCCTTCCAAATATCACCCACCAATATCTGTTGACACTCCTTCTCCACATCAGAAAGTTCCATCACAGAATTATGTGATAAATAATTATGTGACAACGATAAATACAGTACTCTCATAATAATCAAATATACATCATCAATTACTACTTTTAACTTCAATGAACTAGGAATTTATTTATTTTTATTATTGTTTGCATAAGTATTTGATGGCTGAGTTTTCTAATTAATAAGATGTCGGAGGGGTAGTCAAAATGTCAAATTTAATTCAAGTCTTCAAAGTGGATTATGGAGGGACAATTTCTTTCGCCTTAGTCCGTACCATACCTATGTATATTCAAATTAACAGAGACATTTTATTTCATACCCTGACAGCACAATTGGTGGGTGATTCTTTGGGATTAATGAATTAAATAATATTTTTTTTAAAATAATTACTAAAATAAAATAAAATTAAAACTTATTCCTTGTTTGGGACAAAAGTTTGCCACGTAAACAGGTATTTTGTATATAAACTAGACAAAATTATTATTTTTTATTTTAAATTTAATAATTTCATCTAAAAGAGGAACGAAATACTTCACATGTTGACACGTGTCACTAAATTCTTATAAAAGAGAGACGAAACAATCAACACATGTCAAAATATCAGTAATTCGTATCAATTCAGGACGAAAGCATAGGATAACGACACGTGTTTGCATCTCAATAATTTCATCCACATATAAACGAAAGGTATTATTATTTCACCCACATTTAAGACGAAACTCTTTTTGCCCACTGGTCAACTACCTACTGCATCATGCTTTCGTATGGAGGGTGATATGTCTTCAAATCAAAATGAATAGCTTTTGATTGAGTAGAAATTGAGGAAGGAGAAGACGCAGCCATAGAGCAGCGAATTGGAAGCTTCAAGCTTGGGGGGTTTTGGAAGGTGACAGAGGTGAGAAGAAAGGGATGTTGCAATCGCAAAAGGAGCCATCCGCAACACTCTATATGAAAAAGAAGAAAGAACACATGTTATCAATGCATGCATATTATATAGCAAAGACCAAAGAAACACCTAACCATCTAACGTTATCCTTACCAGACTCGGCTATTTCAAACTAGCTAATCAAGGAATGCTATAGGAAACCTTAATATCCATTCAAACCAAAAGCATGCATTTCATCAACCAACTAGTAGGCATGAAAATTTTATTACTAACATTAAGCATTAGGTCATTCTAATTTTAGACAAAGAGAGTATACAACACCAATTTACTATAACCTGCAACCTACAAAGCAACAAAACTCAGAAAACACAGTCCCTATGATCAACAATTTCCCATTTCAACCTAAAAATAAATCATGTTCAGGGTCAAACATTTCCATATTAAGCTAAATAGTTAAATACCCTTAATACAAAATTGCAAAGAATAAAAGAAAAAAAATATCAATTATTGAATCGGAGCTCAGAGGAATAATACACAACGGTAAAAAACGAGTGAAGCTCAGATCCGCAAGGTTAAGAGAGAGAGGTATGGGTGCGAATGGCGTTACGATAAGGTGGAATCAGGATCTTCTCCCGTAACATGACTCTCATGTTTCGTGTTTTTTTTTTTTTCGCTTAAGCAAATTATTTTTTGCTTAAGCAAAAAAAAAAAAAAATAGCGGCACATGAGAGTCATGTTCGTGCCACAAAATGAAAGGATCCCGATCCGATAAGGTGTGGTATGTAGTGGGGAGTTGACCAGCGGGTAAAAAGAAGTTTTGTCTCATATGTGGGCGAAATAATAACACAATTCGCTAGTCTTTCGACGAAATTATTAAGATGCAAATACGTGTTGAGATCCTATGCTTTCGTCTTGAATTGATCCGAATTACTAATATTTTGACATGTGTCAATTGTTTCGTCTTTCTTTTATATGAATTCAGTGACACGTGTTAACATATGGAGTATTTCGTCCCTCCTTTAGACAAAATGATTAAATTTAAAATAAAAAATAATAATTTTGTCTGATTTATATACAAATTATCTGCTTAAGTAACATACTTTTACCCAGACAAGGAATAATTTTAATTTTATTTTATTTTGATAATTATTTTTTAAAAAAGTATTATTTAATTCATTAAGCCGATTCTTTTGTTAGGCCAAGTTGCAACGATTAAAAGATTTGGGACTGACGAGGATCCTCTCATGTTCAAAATTATACGAACATGACGGTCATGTTCGGTTTTGAACATGAGGGGATCCTGATCCATTTGGGACCATACTTTCTTTTGTACTTGTTTTCTTATATATATGTTTTTGTCTTCCTCTTATAGTGAATCTTCTTTGACAGCCGGAAACTAAGATCGATATTATTAGGAAAATGTTTATAAGAAACAAAAAAAGACAACCAAAACTTTTTTTTTTTTTTTTTGGCTAATCAAAACTTATTTTCTTTAGAGAATAAAATTACTGCTATGAAATGGGAACGATGATACGATGCCCCTTTTAGCTGAATCTAATCGTATAACAGCTCACCGGTTTGGTTTAGCAAAAATAGGCATTCGAGTAATTAATATGAGTTGTTTATAATTCTACTTATTATTATTTATAATATTTGTATGAGCTGTTTATAATTTTTTTAACCTAATATAAATAGTATAATTTTAGTAAGTTTTTCACTCTGTTAATAGAAAATAATATATTCTTAATAAGTAAAAATTGAGTTTAGCCAGATAATGAAAATTCTGATAAGTTTCTAAATAAAAAAAAAATAGTCATGGTTCCAATACATTAAATTTACTCGTCTTCTAGAAAAAGAGAAAATGTCAAGACATCGTCAAAGAAATACGATGCAATTTGATTGAAGAAGATCATTGTTCACATTCTGTTGTGTTTTTTTTTTTTTATCTCATCAAATTCTATAGATTTAGATATATATTCCTCAAACCCTTTTATTCTTCTAGTAAAATGACATAATATATATTTATTTATATAGAATTCTATAGGAATTAAAAAAAATTCCTAAAATTGATACATATAAAAATTACTTAAAAATTGATACATATATTTAAAGGACAAAATTTTGAATGATTTTAATTTTTAAAACATTTTTTAATACATATTAATGACATGTAAACATAGTTTAGTCATATGCTGCAGGGACAATCATACTAGCAACCGGGAATGGGGAAGAACTGAAATTGTTTTCCTTTTTCTGGAAATAAAAAAAGAACGAATGAAAAGAACTAAAAAAGGAAAAAGAAAAACACAAGGGGATTAAACAAGTGGAGAAACAGAAAGCACTAAAAAAAGAAACTTAGATTGTACGCAAAGGAAGAAGCCACGATAAGGTGGAACAAGTTTTGTCTTCCTCGATCTTATGGAACTCTTGCACCCATTTTCAACTCGGAATCACGATTTTAATATTTTTGACAAAATTATACTCAAAATTACACATCAAGTATGAACATTGACCAGTATATTTTTTCCTACAACTAATGTATGTCAAAGTCAGAGAAGTAACTTAAAAGAAACAAAACTTTTTCAGAATGATCAAATTATTTATTTTTCATTATATATATAAATTAATTTTTACTTTTTCTCTTTTTGTTTCTTAAAACGGAGTGAAGAGAAAGCAACGGTTTTTTTTTTTTTTTTGCCAATTGGACTAATACGTGAGATATTAATTTATTGATGTATGATAATGCACTTTAGTAAAAATCCCTGTCAATTATACACTTTTCCTATGCATAAATTTTGAGGTCAAATTCAAGACCATGTGTTTAAAAGATTTGAACCCCTTCCTACTCGAATAAACACGTTAGTAATCAGTAGTTTGCAATTACATATGAATTAAATATTTAACTTGCATATGAGAAAGATTTTTTAAATTTAATTTATTACAAATATCTAACATTTATTTAAATAATTAGATTAATCTTAAATGATTTTATAATTAAAATATTTAAAATAAAATTAACCTTTTAAATGAAAAATAAATTTTTAATCATATAATATATAATAGATATATTCATACTAGAAGTTATCATTCGTTTCTATTTTATTTATATGTATACCTCAAAATATTTATTTACATCAGAATAATAGAAATAAGATTAATTTTAATTTATATTGAAATGTTTCATATTCTTGAAGTGAGTTAATCACTTACTAAGTTAATTTTGTAAAAAAAAAAAAAAAAAAAAAACAATTAATCCCATCCTCCGCGAATGTGGGGTGGACTCCTGAATGACAGCAAGGTAGTAGTCATATTAGATGATTTGCTAATCAAGCACATGTACTCACTAGTTATTACTTATTAGGTTGGACGGCTACAACTTGCAAATTTAATTTAAAATTTATTTTATAAAATTGATTTTAATTAAAATCAAAGTGCTATTTAAATGTTATTTCAAAAGTTTATAATAAAATTTAATGTAAAATCTTCACATTCTGTAACCAAAAACAACAAAAAATCTTCACATTCAACGAAAAAATTACATTTTTCCCATCTACTCCTATGTGCTTTTAAAAGAAATTTTGATTTCATAACTAAAAGGATTATTTTAATTAAAACAACCGAACACCAACTTTTCCAGTAAAATCGTTGACTGTCAATTTCCCATTCGGAGGTTTTGCATTGTTTCTGAAAATCAATGAAATACATAATATAAAAAACTAATGTTATGATATTTTACAAAATCAGATATTAAAGTAAAAAATCATAAAATTTAAGGTTAAAATATGGCATTCATTTATATCATATATTAAAGAAAAGATTTGCTCTTGTTCGCCACAAGCGATAAAATCCAAAAACGTACGTTGGCTAATTTTTCATTCCAGTCATTGGGTTCAGTATTTATAAAATATTTCTCCATTTAGTCAATCATACGTATTACGTAATAGAAAATGATGTTCAGATGATTTTCTTGGAGGGTACAGACACACTTCAATTAAGAGTAAGACAGGAAAGAAAGAAAGAAAAATTGACAGATAAGATGAATAATTGGACATCAATTTGATTAATGATTTGATATAAAAAGGAAGAAAAAGAAAAAGACAAAGTAGATGTAAGTGTAGAATTTAAGGTATCTAAAAACCAAAATTGTTACCAAATACATGATTTTGTACTTTGGAAAGCTTATTATTGTACACAAGGTTATGTTTGAAAAGGAAAACCCCTTAAAACCAGAAATGGGAATTTGACACTGATGAAACGATACTTTCACGCTAACACACCTCAGGAAGAGAATGATGTTGGACAATCGACTGTTAGCAGGTTCTTTATGCCACTTAAAAGAATCTTATACGTTTCAAAAGAAATCATATATAGTTTTCCACCATCATCCAAAACAGTTAAGAACCTCTTTTCTTTTTCATACAGTACTCTTACAAGTCATTTTTGGTTTATAATTCCCAGTGGAAGGAACCATTAACCAACATGGGTTCCCACTTATTTGGAATTGCATATGCTGATAGATCATCACTGTCATATATCCTAAGTCCTTTCCATCCATTCCACTCCAAATGGAATGCTCACTTTGATGCCTTGAAAAAAACTAACAAGCTGGTACGTTTGAAAACTACATCTTTAATTTAGTATCATAATCTACTGGTAAAATTTTATTTTACTGAGATCATATTTCTTTGGCATAAATGGTGATTGATTTCACTGCTTCATGGTGTGGACCTTGCAAACTTCTGGACCCAGTTATTCAAGAGTTTGCGGCAAAATACACAGAAGTTGAGTTTGTCAAGATTGATGTGGATGAGTTAATCGTTTATCAATCATTCCCATTCATCTTAACTCATTTGCTCCTCTTTGAAAATTAATCAGATTTTTTTAATGTTTTAAAAAATACGTAATAAGAATTTATATATAATAATTTTTTATTAAACATAATAGAATTCAATGTTGTGATAATATTGAACATTATATTTTTTTAATAATTTTTTTTATTAAGTGTCTTTAAACACGTTAAAATAATTGTTTGCAAAAAAAAAAACTTTATATAAATTCTCTACAGTAACAATTGATTTCCTGACGTTAACAATTGATTTCTATTTACCATAAATAAATGAAAACAGGAAGTGTCTCAAGAATTCCATTTACAGACAATGCCAACTTTCATGCTGATTAAAAAAGGCAAAGTGGCTGATAATGTGGTGGGTGTAACAAAGGAGGAGCTACAAAGGTTGATTGAGCAACAGAAAATAAGTGTGATCATGCACTATAATAAAATCAGCAAGGCTCTTCAGCATAAGGGAACGAGGAAAGACCAACAAATCATAAGAAGATGAATAAGTTGATGCCAATATTTTAAACCAAAACCAAGTGTTATTGTTTAATGCTTACCATCACAAAGTAATATCTAGACTTATCTGTAATGTGTCGGTGCTGATTTTAAGCCATGAAAAAGGACATAAAAGGGCAGTGATGCAAATGAGCCTCCATATATATAATATACGCTAAAGGTCACATCCATTGGATTATTTAGTGATATATGACCCTGCTCTCATCAATATCAACCACTATCTTAATTATTAGCTAAACAATACCGTTCTCCTGAAAAACAAAAAGGAGAAAACATTTCAAAGTTTTTATAAAATAGAAGGAAAAAATAAATAGTCTCGATCAATGACCGTGCGCCATGTAGCAAAACTCATAAATTGTAATGAAATTTGTGCAAACAAAAAAAGTATTTTGTCGTGTGATTATTATCCTAGGCCATAGATACAGACACGGTGATTCTCAGCCACCTAATAGTTTTTCGATGAACATTATATATTATCAAGAAATATCTCCAGACAAGTCATTTTCATACCAAGGGTATGTCACAAATAAACAAGAAGCCTAAATTTAACTGAAACAAATCAATGCACAGATGACCATAATTGCTTTTCTTCTTTCACGCTTTCTCCTAGAAAAGCTGAGTAAAAATATTAACAATGTATTATAATATTTATTACACAAAATCCAAGACCCTATTTGCTGCTGAAATCGCTTATTTTCCAAAGCCACACCACACTGCAGACATGGTAGCGACATGCTTGGATTATTTGTATTATGCACAATTTTCGTAACTAAGACTAAATGTGTATTTAAATATTTACATTGTGAACTGACCTCTCATGTAAGTCAGTGTTAATTGAGAGAAAGGAAATGGACATAAGAGATTGAATTAGTTATGACTAATCAGTATTGCTCAGAATCTTTTTCAGCTCATGCTTCTGCTGTGTGGTAAGCCTTGATGGGAACATAACATCAAACTTGATTCTTAAGTTTCCTTTCTTACCAGGTTCCTTTGTAATGGGCATTCCTTCATTTGGGACCACCAACACATAGCCTGGTTTCACAATATCTGTCACATGAATTGTGAGGTCTCTTCCATCCAAGGTTGTCAAGTGGAGAGTTTTTCCCACAAGAGCCTCTACAAGCAAGATTTTCTGTGTGACTACCAAATCATTGCCATCCCTCTTGAAAAAAGCATGAGGTTTCTCATCCACCACAAAGATTAGATCCTCAGCAGTAGTAGTTCCTGCTGCTTGGTTGCCTTTTCCAGGAAATGTTATTTTTGTGCCCTTCCTCCAACCAGGTTTAATATCTATTTTCAAGACCTCTTCCAAAGTCTTCAACTGACTGCAATACACAAAGCAAGGGAAGTTTGTGAAGCCAAAAGCATATATTTCTACAAAGTTAAATCATTCTTTACTTCACTTCCTTACAACATTTTTTGAAAACTTCTTTTCCTCTGTTGTTTACATCGCCTACTTCTTTATTTACTCTTTCTATATTTTCTTGTTTGCCAAGTCCCCTAGTAAACAAACTTGAAATTCTAGTGTTTACAAAACTAACATATTTAATACAACTTACTAGTTAATGGCTTTTATTTTATTTTTATCATACAACTAAATAAACATGAGGAGAATCACCGCAAATCCCGAATACATAAATAATAATAATGATAAATGATCTCGTCTCTTTCCACATGTGGGCACTACACATGTATATGCATGTAATGTAACCATGCGAGCCTGCACTACCAGGCCTGGTCAATGAAACGCCAAAAGAGAAAACAGCCAAAACAGCAGTGCAATCGTCAAAAAAGAAAAATACGCTAATATTCCCCAAGGCCACAGGATCAAGTAAAATGCAAATTATCCACCAATTCACAAAATAATATGCAGTCAAATCTCTTGGAAACTGAACAGTGTAGTTTTTTTTTTCTACAAACTCTTCAAGAGTAGTGTAATACTAATCAATATCATCAAGTTTTGTTTTGATAGTTTCAGAATCATTAGAATTTCAATTAACATCCATAGCACACAGCCAACTACACAAACACAAATCTAAAGAAGCATGAAAACAAATCTACAAACAAACACATTCAAAAGCCCAGATTAAACCCCATCAAATTCTGCCAACAATGCATGGATTAAAAGGCAGATACAAAATACTAATTACCGAAATTCGTCAGTAACAGCCCTTGAGATCCTCAACTTCCTCTTGCAACCTTTGTAAAGTTCCTCAAGGGTACACACCAATTTGCTCTCCACCACTCGTTCTTTTTCACCATTGGAAATCCTAACACCCCCATCACTGTTTTCCTTGTTCACCTTAAGGGGATAGTGGCCATAGAAATCATAGATCTGGCGCTTCTTGGGGTCGCTAAGAACATCATAAGCCTCTGAAATCTGCTTGAACTTGGCCTCGGCTTCTTCTTTCTTAACACTATGTTGTTGTTGATGATTCTTATCTGGGTGCCATTTCATGGCCAACCTCTTATATGCCCTCTTCAGCTCCTCATCTGTGGCATTATGGTTCACTTTGAGGATCTTGTAGTAATCACCTGCACCCATCTTGTACCAAAATTCAGCTGAATTATGGGTAAAAAAGGTGCTTTTTTTATGGGATGAAGAAAAAATTGATTTTTGGTGTTTTATTGGGTTTGTGAAGAAAAAGAAAGGTTTGCGTTTGACTCAGTGTACGGGCTGCAAAAGGGCTTTGGGGGAGGGGGGGTAATCCAATAACACCGAGTCTAATAGTGCTAGGTGTGAAGGGAGAATGCACACGCGCAAAAGTAGCAGAAATCACGTTCTGTTTGGAGATAGCAGGGGAGAGAAACACTGAAACAGAGTGAGTGTTTGTGTGTGTGAGAAAGAGAGTTAAGCTTGTTGTTGGACACTTGGACGCTGATGGGTGTGATATAAATTTTGATAATATGGGATTTTGAATTTTGTAACATTTGATAGTGAGTGTTGGCCTAGTTGGTGCTGTAATTGTAGTGCCTTGTGGACAAAAATATTCAACAAGATCCAATTGATTATTGCCAGATATTCATAACAAGTGAAATTTTGATATCCCCATATCTTTTTCTTGGGTGAATTTGAAATCGCTATTGATATATTTAATTTATTTCTATGTAATAAATTTGAATCATTATTTTGATAATATGGAATTTTATTATATAATTTTTTTATATTTAACATTTATTTTTATAATTTATCTTTTAAAATATTTCGTTATTTTAATTTAATTTTATTTTAAATTTTAATATACTATATTAAGCTGGAGGTATTTTTATTAAATTAAAAAATAATTTATTCTTATTAATAATAAATGTTCTTTAATTTATAAAATTAATAATATTCGAGTAATTTATTAATTTCAAATATACTTGTCGGATTAACGATTGACTTAAAATATATGTATCTCCAAAATATGAAAATGATACAAAATTAGATATCAAAATTTAAATTTATATTACAATATTATTTTACTATCGTATTTTATGTTCATTTCTATATCATGATTTAGTTTTAAGAATAAAATTATATACATGTAATATTATAATAATGAAATGAATAATTATGAAAAATACAAACAATATTATAATAATAAAATCATATATTTTAAGTAATATTATCTATTTAAGCTACAATAAGGGATTGATGCGTGTCGACTATAATTATAGGCTTTAGCATAAAAATATGAAATTACTATGAATAGATATTTTGGTAATTTCCTTTTTATAACAATTATAGTAAAATAAATTTTATTTATTTATTACTGGTGATTTTGTTTGATAATGCCCATGCTCTGCTAACCCATGCAGAGCATGTGTATTATGATTAGTTTTAATTAAAATTGTCAGAGAAATGGTTGACTTAAAATACATGTATCCCCCAAAATAAGTTGTTGAAATTTAAAATTCAAGTGGTGTTGTTTAGATTTTGTTTTAGAACGTTTAGTAAAACATTTTGGTCTACTTTGGAAACTTCTTTCATACATACTTAACATTATCTTTTGAAGGGTACAGAAATGCAATTAACATTTAATTGCACTGATTAAGATTAGAATTTATGTCAGATTTACAGCCCACAAATATCTGGCCCACATGTTTGGTTATGGCCTCATGGGAGTGATTAATGCGATGGTAATATTACTGTTTTCTAATATAAATTTATATATATTAAATTGTTCTTATATTATATGATTTTATGTATTTAAATTATATACTAATATTAAATGTTATAATTTAATAAAATTATATTATTTATTTTTTGTATTAAATACTATTAAAAAAAACAATCGTTGGGTGGAGTCGGTGGCAGGAAATAGGTGCAGTGATAAGAAAGGGACGTAGCAGCAGCAATGATGTTTCTTTCCGAGCCAAGAGTTTCCTTCCAAAACAAATGAGACTTGGAATCTGGACGGTAGTCCTACGGGGAATCTTCTAAGAGAACGAGAGTTTGAAAAATGAAAATCATATCATATAATTTGCTTTTAATATAAACAATTTATTTCAAATACAAGCAAGATGAAATTCTTTTATTATCATTTAATTATAACTTATTGACTTTTTTAAAAAAATTTAAAATATATTAATACTATGTATATTTTTTATGCTATTATTTAACTTTGGATTATTATATAATTAAAAATTATTTTTTATAATGATTATTTTACAATTATATTTAAAACAGTTTCTAATTAATTAAAATTTAAAAAATTAAACTATAATAATAATTAAGATTTTTAAAATAAAATAAAATAAAAATACCAAATTTTAGATAGGTCCTCTTTTGTAAAAATAAAATAAAATCAAAATATATCTTTTAATACTACATAAATCACATTGATTTAAATGATTTAAAACTTATATATAAATATAGTGCTACTTATAGTCGTGCTAGTATTAAACACCACCATATTTTAGTATAAGTATCATAATTCTAGTGTGAATTGTGCTTTAAAACAAAAGTTGTACTTGTTTAGTATGATTTATGTAACACGTCACATGCTTAACCAAAAGTTATACATAAGTTAACATAAGTTATCCTCACTTTGTGCAACTTTGGTTAGGACATTTATTATATAAGTAAGCCAATAGAGAAATTTTGTTGTAGTATAACGTTCGCCTTTGTAAAATAGTTGTAGTAGAAATATAATTGAAAGTTGTATATATATTAATTCACTCAAGTGGTAAAGTTATAAATACTATAAAAAGAGTTCTTTTTAGTAGTGTTCAACCGATTTGTATAGTTGTGTATCCGATCATCAATTATTTATAATTGTAAAATAGTATATTATAGCAGTTAGGGTATGAAAATAATAGACAGATAATGTAGATGTTGTCTATAATGATTGGACAAGGCGTGATTATGTACATTAGTTATCCAATTTGCAATGATAATAATGTGAGTAAGGTGTTTAATTTTTAATTCTAATTTTTAGATATTCACAGAGTGAAAATATTTGTATGTATGTAAGAATGTTAATTTAGCTATGGAGTTATTGTTGCGTTGTGCTCCTCAATTAAATAGGTTGACATAATAATTTTGAATGATAAAGAGAAACCATTGATAATATTGTGACTAGTCCAAGCTTTGCAGCACATCTTGAATTGTTTAATGGTCAGCTAGGGTTAGATTGTTCAAATTTGATTGAGCATGATGAAAATGTGGAGGAAGAGCAATTTCATGGCCCTGTACCAAATGAAAGTGATAAAGGATTTGACAAAGAGATAGAAGAAATTAGTTAGGCACAATAATTTATGTCACAATCAGTATCACAGTCTTAGTATCAATGACAACCTAATCATTATTCAATATTGAATTTGGATGTAATGTGTAACATCCTTATTTTATTCAAAACAATAAGAAAATAAGTTCAGAATTAAGAAGGAAAAATTTAGTTAAATCCATTTACCAACTGAATATAACAAGTGAAATTTTAAAATATTGTATTTATTTTGCTCAAACTTATAAAAACTTAAATAACAAAATAATAAGAATTAAACCAATTTTAAGAGAAAACATTAAAATGACATTAATGTACATTGTTCTTATCATATACAAAATGTTAACATTTACAAAATATACATCAAAATACATTAGAACTCATTTACAATATTTACAAAAAATACAAAATATAACAAGTCCTAATGAACAGTCTATCCACCAAAAAGACTGATAAAGATACTAGTCGTTCTCGTGTCATCTCTCTATTTCTGCAATGTCGTCAGAATTGAGATCCTCATCCAACCTGAGGTATTGATCACCTGAATCTGCAGTAACCTTCGTGCTAGTAATTCACTCGAAAGTCCATCTGGATGGTCTTCTGAGATGGTCATGGTCGTGATACGTAAACAAATAGGTCACGACTGCCGAAGTTCTCACGGTACTAGGGAATATATATACACAGAGTGTAATGTATTCTACTTACAGGAAAATCAAAAGGGATACTATAACATAGTTCCATCTTTATCATAATGATATTCCTAGGTACATCATCAACATGTACAACAATTCTAAAGTAGCATAGTCTTTGATATTCATTAAATACATAGTTAAGTATATTATGTATAGAACTATCTACAAGCTTAATTCTCTCTCTGGGAGCAGTCATCCTGGTCCCCTGAAATATTTATTTAAGGATGAGTCTCTATTCATATTACCAAGCATACATTCACAATTAGTCACACAGTAAAATAAAGGTAATACAACAATCAATCATGTTACAAAATCATATTCATATGCATGCAACAATCTTTGAATATTCAGCTTGTTACTCTTCATCTCTCTCTTAATACTCTGAGTTCTCATTATGCACTTTCACTACCCCTGGGATCCCTTAAGGTATTCCTTAGTATAGATAGTCGCTGGATAGTCGCAGCTACACGGATACAACGTGTGCTGACCCAACCCTTTTTAGCAAAAGTATGGTCAGAAGTATTCGTTAGGAAATAAATGTGAGGGTTGTGATGTACTTACTCTCATTTGTTTTGCGTAATTCAAAAAGAGCATCCACCACTCTCATTTTCCCAATATTTCTCAATCGTTTCCATCTTCCACACCCTAGTGTACCTATGAACTATCCATACTCGTCTTTATCGTATTACTTTCCATTTCATTTCTCTTTCCATATTATTCACGTTTTTTTATTTCTCTATTTTACTTTAGTTCATTATTACATCATATATCAATTAATCATTGCCAAGAGTTGGTCCCCTCAAACTCAATCCACCACATACATGCATATACACTCAAATCAAGGATCATACACTTCATCAAACACAACAGAACATACTTCAAACATAACAAAAACATGTTCTCATCCAACATATACTCAAAATCATGCATTTCATCATAGCATTTTCATGAATACAAACATACCACTTTCTTAATAATAAGGTAGATCTCTCCTTACCTTGAAATAGAAGTTTAGTGGAGAGTTTTTGAAGAATCTTGCTCAAAAGACTTTCTTCCTAAATATCATAAGGGATCCTATTTAGAGGAGGAAAAACAAGAAAATAACCAAAGAATAGAGAACCAAGCTTTAAGAACTTACCAAAAAGTAAGAAAAATGAACTCTTAAGCTTGGATCAAAGAAAAGTTGAAGCTTTTCAAGGATTTGCTGAGAAAATAAAAAGAGAAGTCAGAGAAAACATAGAAGGGTCGTAGCTTAGATTATAATCCAAGTTTCTCAACTTGTAAATTCTTAAATACCTTTCAACTCGCGACATTCTCACTACAGCGAGACCTTTTCTAGCTGCAGTGAAAAAATCAGACAAAATTACACTTTACTATCTGTCATTCTTGCTACAATGAGAGCCACTCGCTATAGCGAAAGAGCATCAAAATACTTGATTCTAGACGCTGATTTCTCGCTACAGCGACATACATCTCGTTACAGTGAGAAATCCTGCAACTTACACACCTAAAACTCTTTTAATTTCAAGTAACAAATATTAACAATTCACACAAAATACAAAATTAACAACAAACAAAAATAAGGTGTTACAACTCTCTCACCCTTTTAGAAATTTTGCCCTCGAAATTCACTAGCTTAGAAGAGATAAGGATAGGCCATCCTCATTTTATCTTCAAGCTCCCAAGTTACATTTCCTTCATCATTTGCACTTCATATCACTTTCACCAAAGATATCTCTTTGCCCCTTAATTGCTTGACTCGATGATCGGCAATCTTCACCGGAAATACATTAGAAGAGAGGTTTTCTCGAACTTGGATAGGATCAAGTTCGATCACATGAGATAGATCCGGGATGTATTTTCTGAGTTGGGACACATGAAAAACTGGATACATATTTGAAAGGCTAGGTGGTAAGGAAATTCGGTAAGCTACTGAGCCAACCTTTTGCAAAATTTCAAAGGGTCCAATAAAGTTGGATGACAACTTTTTGGATTTCAAGGCTCTGCCGACTCCAGTGGTAGGTGAAACCTTTAAAAACATATGATCTCCCTCTTGAAACTCTAATGGTTTCCTCCAGCCATCACAGTAACTTTTCTGTTTGTCTTGAGAAATCTTGATTTTCTCTCTGGTCATCTTGATTTAATCGTTCTGCCTTTGAACTAAATCATGTGCATATAGAACTGTCTCTCCAGACTTGTACCAACATAATGGTGTTATGCATTTCCTTCCATACAATGCCTCATACGGTGCCATCATGATGCTAGTATGATAGCTATTGTTATAGGTAAATTCCACCATGGGTATACATTCCTCCCAAGTCCCTTGTTGTTCATCATGTAGGCTCATAACAAGTCTTCAAGAGTTTTGATAGTTCGCTCTATTTGTCCATCGATCTGAAGATGATATGCTTAACTAAGTTTCAAATTAGTCCTCAACAACCTTTGCAAGCTTTCCTAAAATTTAGAAGTGAATCTCAGATCCTGATCAGACACGATGCTTGTAGGCACTCCATGTAGTCGAACTATCTCTTTGATATACAACTCTGCTAGCCTCTCCATCTTATACTTCATGTTGACTGGAAAAAAAATGGGCAGTCTTGATCAATTTGTCTACGATTACTCATATGGCATCATGATTTTGCTTGGTCTTTGGTAAACTGAACATGAAATTCATGGAGTTGCTATCCCACTTTCATTCAGGAATTTCCAGTGGTTGTAGCTCTCCTGACATACGTTGGTGCTTTGTCTTTGACTTTCTACAAGTTAGATATTTTGTCACGTACTCTGCTATCTCCTTCTTTATCCCATATCACCAAAAGCTCTTTCGTAAATCTTGGTACATTTTTATTGCTCCTGGGTGAAAACTGAGCTTACTTTTGTGGGCTTCTCTCAAAATCATCTATTTCAGCTCTTCGTTCTGAGGGATGCATACTCTATCATTGAATTTTACTAAGCCATTCGAATCACGATGAAATTCCATGTTCTTGCCTTTATCCTTCTGGCGCATCATCTCTTGCAAATAGAGATCTTCTTGTTGCATGAACTTGAGCCAAGAAATCATTGCTGATCTTCAAAGTCCAAGATATAGACTGTTGGGTCATAGCTCCACTGCTAAGTTCAAATCTCTAAATTCTTCAATTGGCTTCCATTCCTTCACCATCATGGCTGAGATGTGCAAGGATTTTCTACTCAACGCATCTGCAACCACATTCTCTTTTCCCAGATGGTAGGATAATGCGAAGTCGTAGTCTTTCAGAAGTTCCATCTACCTCCATTGTGGCATGTTCATCTCTTTCTGGTCAAATAGGTACTTCAAACTTTTGTAGTCGCTAAAGACTTCAAATCTTGCTCCAAAAACATAGTGTCTCTAGATCTTTAAGCAAAGACCACTGCTGCTAGTTTCAAATCATGCGTGGGATAATTGACCTCATGAGGTCGCAACTGCCTAGACGCATACGCCATTACTCTCCCATCTTACTTCAAAACAATCCAAGACCTTGTCCTGATGCATCGCAGTATAATTCAAATTTTTGTTCAGGATCTGGCAAAATTAACATAGATGCTATTGTCAATCTCTCTTTCAACTTCTGAAAACTTGTCTCACATTCCTCATTCCAGTTAAAATCTTTCCCTTTTCGTGTGAGCTTTGTCAAAGGTAAAGCTATCTTAGAAAATCCCTCAATGAGCTTTCTATAATTGTTGGCCAATCCTAAGAAACTTCAAACTTCCGTCGGAGTAGTAGGTCTTGACCATTGAGACACTACTTCAACCTTAGCTTGGTCAACCATGATTCCTTTGCTTGATACTACATGTCCCAAAAATTGTATTTGTGTTAACCAGAATTCGCATTTCGAAAACTTTGCGTATAATTGTCTCTCGCTTAGGATCCGAAAGAGAATCCTTAGATGCTCAGCATGTTCCTCCTGGCTCTTTGAGCATATCAGTATATCACCTATGAATACCACCATGAATTGGTCCAGATATTGATGGAAAATTTGATTCATATAATCCATGAATACTACCGAAGCGTTAGTCACACCAAATGACATAACTAAGTACTCGTAATGTCCGTAACGAGTTCTGAATGCGGTCTTTGTGATATCTTCATTCTTCATCCGAATTAAGTTAAAGAAATAAAATTTATTTACTAAAATATGAAGTTAAAAAATATTTTTAAAAACTATTTTGACTCAACGAGTCTGATTACTGCTCCTACGTATCCTTGAGTGCCATGAAGAACTCAAAGTCACATAGTTTTATATAAAAAATTATAGAATTATTTTATTAATTAGAAATTTATAAGGTTTTAAAAGAGCTTGTTTTTAAAATTAATGAAAAAAGAAATCATTTATATATTGTAGGATACAAGATAGTGCAGCTATACATGTTACCCTACGATAAATAATATGAAAGGCGGAGAAAAATTATACATCCATATTGTAAATTGTTGTAAAAAGTGTGGTAATTAAAATCAAATATTTTAATTTACAAAAAAATATTTTTAATATATAATTTAATTAAAAAAATTTAATATTTGAAGAAATTTAAGATAGCGTAAGCTATACATAAATATCTTATGACTTATTCGTCTAGAAGGCAATGTAAATCACACATTTATCTCGCAAAGTATTATATAATAAAATAGAGAAGTATACTTATATAATTGAATGTTTGGTTATTTAGTTTATTAAAGTTGGAAACATGATTTAAAATTTTTAAATATGAAATTAATTATAATTAATGAAAAAATTTAAAGAGAATAGATTAATATATTTAAATTGATTAGTAAAGATAGACATTTAATTAAGGGAAGTTAAAATATAATATTAGCAAGTTTGTATTGCGTGAGACCAAGATAACGTTTGTATACAAAGGTCTCAATGATTTAAAACGTACAAAGATAGAGACGCTACACAATGACGTTACAGACCACTGAATTAAATCAGTTAATGAATTAATTTCTTAATTATTTATTGATTGGGACATAAATTTTTAAAAGAAAATGTTTAAATTAATCAATTTATAAATTACTGTATCAACGAGTGTAACACTTAAATTTGATTTCAATTAAATAATAATTTTACAAATCAGATAACCAAATTTTCATAAAAGATTTCGAAATAAGTGAAGGGTTACAAATTAATATCAAATAACTGCTACAGGACTAGTTCAATTACAACAATTTTAAAATAAAATCTAAGTCCTATAGCAACTCATCCGTCCATTCACTGAGTCCGGTGCTGATCGTTTTGATTACCTGAAAAATGAATGTAAGGGTAAGTACTCTACACCACCTAAAAACACACAGTCAACATAGAGTCTCACCACTAGTACTTTTTCAATACATTAAACAATTACATTCACAAGTAGCATTCCGCATCCATAAGTATAATTCATAAACTTATGCATATGCATGCCAGCCGTATTCACTGTAGCACTGTGATCAGAAATTTACACCATGAATGGTCGCCGGTTACCCCCGCCTCACGAATACCAAGTGGGCAGTCACAGGTCGCTCAGCAAAGATAGTAGTCAGAGGTTTAATCAGGAAGAGAGTGTATGGCCCGTGGTGCACCCGTTTCGCAGTTGGTGTCACCACCACTTCCTCTTCCCCAAGGTATTTCTACCGTCTTCATCTTCCACATCTCAGTGTATCGCTGAACCATTCACAACACATTACAACGATGCTACACACCTCATTCACATACATTTCATTCACACACGCAATATTCATGCTTGCACACGGCACACAGCCTATATTCAATTCACAGTACTCGGCACATAGCCCACGTTTTATCTACAATATACGACACATAACTTTCATTTATTCACAATATCATTAATTCACCAATTAATGACATTTCATCACACACAATCACCCCCACGGGGCCTCACTATTCCAGCACACATCACATTGCACACCAATTTCCATTCAACACGCAATTTCTACTCCCTATCTCAGCCACATTGCATTAATCAACAAAACACACAAGAATTATAACACATTGAGATAGGGTAGAGTCCCCCTTACCTTGGATTGAAGACCCACACTCGGATTTGACCACGGACGTGCTCCCTACACTGATTGCAGCCTAAAACACATGAAAGAACTCTATGAGAACCTAAGGAAACCTAGAAACAGAGAAAAGGGGATGAGAAATGAAACCTTAAGCATTAAAACTCACCTCCAAGCATTCTCCACACGGATTCAACCTTCAATCAAGCTTCTGAACGGCTTTAGAGGCAATATAATCGGTAGAAAAGGGTTTGAGAATGAGAGGATCGAAGGGAATTCGAAGGGAGAGAGAGAAATAACCCTCCCCGAATCCTAACTTCCTTTAAATCCTTTCCTGGTCGCGACACTCTCGCTACAGCCAGATATATCTTACTGCAGCGAAAATATCAGACGAAACTGCACCTTGGTTTCTGCAGAATCTCGCTACAGTGAAACTGCACCCAGAAATGTACCTGAAACTGTCACTCTGTCGTTACAACAAAACATCTTTTGCTATAACAAGAACAGCCCAGTATCACGCCCTACACTTAGGCACTTAGCCCATCTCAGCTCTATCAAGTCATGCATACACATAAATACACATATCCATGTACTTAATACACATAAACATCATTATCAAATAAATCAATACACATATGAATATATATATATATATATATATATACATATATATAATAATAATTATTATTATTATCAAAATTTGGAGCGTTACATTATTTAACTTAATGAATTTATACTGTATGAAGTTAACAGTAACATAGATACACATTAACTTCAATGATTTATAATGCATAAAAGTAGAGATACTACACGTTAACATTATATATCATTGCGCTAATTGATAACCACGTCGCAATGGTATCAAACAAGCTAGATTTTCTCAAAAATTTGTGCAATACAAGAAGCAAATCTAGGTCATCTCTCAAGGACATAAAATGCATTTTATTTTTAGTTCCATCATGCAATTTCAAATTAGATTGGGGAAGGATTTGTTTTGAATTTAAACGACAAAATAACAAAAACGAAAATTAAGGATTATGAAATTCAACCAATTCAAGATCTCAATCCTTACAATGCAATTCTCGTCGTTCACACAAATATAATCCCAACGAATTTCC